GCACTGGCTCTCCTCAGTTTGCAGAGGAAGTAGAGGCGTGTTTGAGCTTTCTTGGCCAGTGATGTGGTGGTGTTGGTCCTGGAGAGGTCCTCAGAGATGTTCACCCCCAGGAACTTGGTGCTGCTCACTCTCTCTACTACAGCACCAATGATGGTCAGTGGGGGATGCTTTACAGTTTATACAAGTCTCCATATTTCCACTCCTAGCTAACTGACAGGAAGCAAAGAGGAATGTCTTTAATTAACTTGGGCTTCTTCTATACAGACTGTGCAGTATGAGCATAGAGTTTGAATGAAAGCACACAGATGATGAAACACAAAGGAAAGAAGAGCAAGAGAGAATTGAAGTAAATAATTTGAAAGACAGATAGATAGGGTGCCATTCACTATAAGCAGTGACATGCCCATTAAATAGAACTGTTAAATTTGCATTGTTCTGTTACCCTTACTGCAATAATTTCCAGCCTTAGAAAGTAATAAAATAAACATCTTTCTCCAGAAATACAATAACACAGTCTTAGTGATTATATAAACTGAAGGTCACTTTTCCTCAGCAAGAAGTGAGAACATGGATGTGTAACTGAGAGTGTCTGTGAAAGTGAGAGAGAATGGCAGAGCTTGGAGTCATATGAGGTGAGAAGGATGGAGAAAGGAAGTTTCACCAGTGAACCAGAGACTGATTGCTCTCTGAGGAAGACACAGGAAGACTGGAGCTGGAAGACAGAACAGTATGCAAAGGTCTTGACTTTGGATTAAGTTTAAATGATTAATCTTAATGTAAGTTATTATTATAACTTTTTAGATGCTTCTTGGTGGTTGCAGCACATTGATACTCTAGAGGGCCTTAAAAGTATTTAATCCTCAAACTCAGCAGGAGAGAGAGTCCATTAACCTTTCCTTATTCAGGATTATCACAGGACCAACTCGATGAGGACCACAGTGGCTTGTTCTGGCTGGAATTAAACAGACTGACTACCAGTCACACACTCTCTTAGGCTGCAGGTGTTTCAGAGCTGGATGGAGTGATGGAGGTAGGTTGTCTCTGTTTTTAATGCCATTGATGGTTTGGGGAGGGGGGCATGGTAGAACAGTGCCTTTCTGTGCAGAGTTTGCATGTTCTCCCTGTGCCTGCATGGGTTCTCTCCAGGTACTCCGGCTTCTTGCCTAAAGATATGCAGCTTAGGTTAATAGTGACTCTAAACTGCCTGTATGAGTGAGTGTGGTGTGTGCCTCTATGTGTCAGCCCTGTGATAGACTGGTGACCTGTCTAGGGTGTACCCACCCTCTCGCCCAGTGTCAGCTGGGACTGGCTCCAGCAGCTCTGCAACCCACGCCAGGATAAATGGTATAGAAAATAAATGGATGGTTAGATGGGTTTAGGGTGGTTATTGATTTTGGCCTAGATACATTTGGTCTTTGCACACCACTGTAAAGGAAAGGTCACTGACACTTATGGTGCTGTCATTACAGCTTGGTGCTTTGGGGTCATCTGTATTCATATACCATTAACAACAAGTTAAAAATAAGGATAATGTGTCATAATGTCATAAGGCACAGAATGCTTGAAATAAGCAGCAAAATAAACACATTGCTTTATATTCATTGAACTACAAAGCTATAAATAACTAATGACTAAATTAGTTTTATAGCTTTCTGAGTAAAGCTTCATCTATTATTCAACAAGCCTATGGTTGATTTGTTTACTCTTGCACAATGAAAAAGGGTTATATTAATACTAGCAAAGAGGAATTGTGAGGGCTTTTTGTGTACATTGCTATTAGAATTCAAAGGATGAATAAAGAAACTCCTGGGGACTTCAGTCTCAGAACGTAAGGGCTTTATACTTTACTTTGTACTTCATAATCAGTCCACTGGATACATCTCACTGTCTCGTAAAAGCAGGCACCACCAGACAAATGTGTCCTGAAATAGGAGAAGCAAGTGCTCGTCAATAAGTCATAAATTAATGTTCATATGTGGTGACTTCAATATAGATTTGTTGAATCCTAACAAGCACACAGGAACTGAGGAGTTTATTAAACACATTATATAGATGCAGTTTATACCCAAAAATTACAAAACCAAGTAGATTAACAACCCAGCATGCAACACTAATAGATAATATATTTACTAATGATATTGATAGTAAAATGTCTAGTGGATTTCTTATAAATGATATTAGTGATCATTTACCTGTATTTTTGGTTTATGACTGCCAGTATAGAAAAGTAAGGCCAAAAACAAATCTTTTTTATAGGAGGGTGATGAACGAACATGCTGTAAGGAGGCTAAAAGAGGATTTTATGGGGCAAGACTGGGAAGCAGTTTACAAAGACGAAGACTTAGACAAAGCATATGAGCAATTTTTAAATATATTTATGAAAGTATATGACAGGAACTGTCCTCGTAAGCAGTATAAAAAGAAGAGGAATTACAGTGGGAAACCGTGGATGAGTAAGGGATTACAGAATGCATGTAATAAGAAGAATGTGTTATATAAGGAATTCATAAAGGACAGATCAAAGAAGGCGGAAGAAAAATATGTTATATAAGAACAAATTAATTGCAATATTGAGGAGAGGTAAGAAACAATATTACGCTAAAGTATTAGAGGTAATATAAATAACATGACAGGTACTTGGAATATCTCCAACTGGTTCAGGCCGGGTTCAGACAGAAATACTGGGCTCCATCCATACTTCACACTGTGTAGATATCCTGCTTGTTGTTGTGTTTGTATGCATATTAGTTGCTGTCAGTGGTTTCAGGAACTACTTGCTCTTATCAGCAGCAACTCAGGTCACCACCTCAGTTGCAGTAGTTCACCTAGTCTATGCTTGAGTTCTGGTGCTATGGTGCCAGCAAAGACCAGGCTTGGTGTCTGCTTATC